AACCATGGTTGGGTTACAGCCACCCAACACATTTTTATATCAATAATTTCGATATAAAATATTTTATAATTGGCTTCAACTCACACACTATAACATTTCAGATAAATTTTTACCTCCCACATGCCATTAGGCTAAATCACATTTGTCCATCCTTATACTCCCAACAAGTAAACTAAATCACATTTGTCCATCCTTATACTCCCAACAAGTAAAATAAGCAATTTAGTCAATTTTCAACACAAGCCAGTTATTTGGCCTTATAATCATGCCATTTTAACCAATCCAAAGTAAACCAAATATTAAAATTACAGTCATCCAAATTGTACCAAAAATAGAAATAGTTTGAAAGGCATGATTACATTTATATATTCATATAATTGACAATAAATAAAAAGCCTTAATATTGACAATATAACACATTATAAATCATAAATTAAATACCCAAAAGAGACAGTGGATCTATACCACTAAGCCTCTGGGACTCCTCCACGTGTCACTCGTGGCTCTTCTCCTGAAAATTTGTTAACCACATAATGAGACTCAAAAGTCCCAGTAACCAAAGCTAATTTATGATAGTGTATACAAACAGTTAAGTGTGTGCTTACTAAGTGAGAATTAAAAATAATATAATTCCAACAAATATAAGAAATATTATAATAAACACAAACAACCATCCTTATATCCCTCCATTAACCTTGAGCCGTAGCCCTCACTCGGTGCTAAATTACCCGGCCAAAGGTAGATTAGCTCGAGCCCTTACAAGCCACCTATTGAGCTCCAATAGGGGCGTACTACGTGGCACATAATTACAACAATAATAGCAAGTCTCCCAACACCTCCCACAATAAATAAACAAATTCATAATAATATTGTACAATTATACAATATTACAAAATTCATAATTTCTCAATAATCACCCAATTAACATGAAGTAACACTAATCATAAATTAAAAGCATGGTTACCTTGTGGCTTTTTCAATAAATTATTCCTTAAAATTTCTCTCTCACCACAATCTTCACCAGTAATACAATCTACAAATAACATATTATTTATAAATATTAGTTTCAATTTTTGAAACTAATAAAATAATTCTAATAATAGAATTAAAAATATAACATAATTCCTAATCTCAATCTTAATACAAATCTATAGTTAATACTATTAAGTATAATTTTCAACTCCTCTTTTAATTATCAATAAACATTAATAATCTAAAAATCAACTTCTAAACTAATTTTTATTATCAAAATTTTCTTTTTATTTCATAAATTCGTACCTAAAATACCCAAAAATTAAAAATTAAGTCTCTAGCTTAGAATCATAATCCTATAGCCATAATAATTCATTTCTCATCCCAAATAATCATCTAAACCTCAATAAATCAACATATATTTTCAGATCTAGTCTAGAATTTGATCCATAAGCTACAAATTCAAAGATCACCAATAAATTTATACTCTAGAATATTTATTATACTACTAACAACCTCAAAAACCATATTTATTCAACATAAATTCATCCCTCTTTCAGATCTTAAATTTTCTACCACTATAAAATCAGAAACCAAAGAAGAAAGATGATTAAGAAAAATTTTAGAACACTTACTTAGTCTTGAAAAGCTTAAAATCACACCCTAAATATCCTATTAAAAACTCTTACCTTAAAAATTTAGATATTTCGCACCGATGACTCGCGTTCTCTCCGCCTTAGCTCGCGCGCAGGAATGAATGAGGAAATGAAGGAAGGTGAGTTTTTATAAAAATTCAGTGGGTCCCACACATTTTTTTTTATTCTTTTCTCTCTCTTCTTTCTTTCTTCTTCTTTTTTTTATTATTATTATATTTTACTGTTGAGGCGGCGGCTGCGTTCACATTTTCTTCCTTTCTTTCTTGTTTTTTACACCTTTTTTTATTATAATAATAATTTAATAATATTATTTTTTTTAATTATTTTTTTTAAAAATTATTTTTTTAAATTTCTATTAACCCAAATTAACTATTAAAATTTAAATTGGGATGTTACAAATGGGATGCTATAGAATGCTCACCCCTAATCCCAAGTGTATACACTAGCACCCTCTTTCCTCTATTTCCCTCCATTCCTCTCTCATTATCCTTAGATCAAACTTTTCAACAGTGTAGATGTAATTTTTAATAAAATTATTATTTTAATTTTATATAAGATATATAAATAAAATACTATAGTCTATAATTGTTTAGATTAAAATTTAATAATTAAAATTTATTTATTGATCTTTGTATAAAATTAAAATAATAATTTTATTAGAAATTAAATTTAAACTATTGAATTTTAATCCAAGAGTGATAAAAGAAAAATGGAGGGGAGGAAAGTGGAGTCTTCCTAAAATCGTACAACCCTTTAGCGCACAGACCTGACTTCTCTTCATTTTTCCTCCCCTCCATTTCCTCTTCACTTTTCATCTCAATCATTGAATTTATTTTTGAATGGTTGAGATTTAATGCTTCATAAAATTATTATTATTATATTTATTTTTCATAAAATTTTATATTTTAATAATAATTTTATGAAGAATCAAATCTCAACTATTCAAAAATAAATTTAATGGTTGAGATGGAAAGTGAAAAAAAAATAGAGAGAAGTCAAGTCCTCGGCACACAGGTACATAAACTTAAAGCATCCAATATGGGCCATGGGCCACATTATTTGATTATTTTATTATATTTTGTTTTTCTTTCTTTTCTTTTCTTTCATATATATATATATATATATAATATTCATTACAATTTAAAGATTCTAAAAAAGAAAATATAACTGTGGATCCCTAAACTTTATTCAAATTTTATTATAAATTCATACACTTTTTTTAATATTTTAAATTTCTATATTTTTATTTTTGAATATTCTAGATCCCTACATGAACATGTTATAGGAATTTAAAACACTAAAAAATAAAAGTGTGGAGTCCTAGAATATTAAAAAAAAGTGCAGGGATTTATAACAAAATTTAAGCAAAATGCAAGGATTCAAAATTATATTTTTACTTCTAAAAATTTAAAAGAAGTTAAATTTTTCTTAAAATGAATTTTTTTTCTAATCTTTAAATAATATATTAAATTGAAATATTTATTTAGTCCCACACACTCTTATAAATTTTAGAAAAAATGACAATAAAATCTCACTAGATTATATAAATGACAATCTAGTCTTTCAAAATGCTATAATTCCACTGAAGTACTTAAAGATTTTTGTATCAATAAATTTTAATGTGAAAAAATTATTTTATCTTTATTAAAAATAGCAAGCATTAATCACAACGTTTGCTTAAGGAATAACTATTTTTTTCTATGAATTGCAAAAGTTAAATAAGAAATCATAACTTATCAAGTGTAATTTTTATTATTGAAAAATAAGCCTCGATCATAAGTTTTGTTTTGTAAATCGTAAGAGTTGAACAAAAAATCACAATTTATCAAATATAATTTTTATTATTGAAAAATAAGTTTTCAAAATAACTAACTCCAATCACAACTTTTATTTAATGAATAACATCTTTTATTCAAAGAATTATAAAAATTAAATAAGAAATCATAACTTATTAATAAGGATAAAATAATCTTTTTAATTTAAAATTTATTAATACAAAAATAAATCTTTAAAGATTTTAGTAAATATAACATTTTTAAATATCAGATTGTCATTTATATTCAAATGATTTTATTATCATTTTTTTTAAATTTCGTCTCTCACTCTTTTTTAAAATTTTATTTTTAACCTTCTGTTTTTTTTTGTGATTTATCTTTTCTCAAGTAATTATCTGGTGAATTTTAATTACTACAAAATCTTATCTCATGTGATTAAAATCTTAAAAATAAAAATTGACACGTTATCGAAGACATCATTGGATCTCGTAACCCAAGAAGCTTTATTTTCTTTGAGGAGGAAGCTACCAGGTCGAGCGAGCGATTTTGAGCAATTGGTCATTGTCTTCCAAAACGGTAACGCGATTGGAGAAGGATCGATCGGGAGAAAGCTTGGAAATCGGAAAAAGGCACCTTTTTCTTGACCCATCCTTTATTATTATTATTATTATTATCGATTTGTTCCCATTTTTAGGTTGCTTTTGCCTTTACGGGAAGCTATTCCGTTGAGTTACGGATTTGCCCTCCTTCAAGGAAACGACAGCGTTTCGAATAGATGAGGAAAAGTGGATCGATTTTGAAGTATAAAATCATAAAATCGTAAATGATGGCTTTTTTAGGGCCAAAAAAGGATAAATGATGGCTTTGCTATTTTTGTTTCTGTTCAATAAAAAAAAAAAAGATAAGTGATGGCTTGAAAATATTGTTGGAATATTTATTTATTTATGAATTAATATTAATTAACAAAATTTAATCAGATTGATCTTTATAATTTTGTGTGTATCGTTATAGGTAAATTATACAAATGAGCCTAATACGCAAAGGTGATTTCTTCACTCAAATGTTGCTAAGAAAAATCATGTTTGAATGCGTTGCTTTATCATAGTCTTGTTTGTCATATTAGTGAGAAAAAGAAAAAATAGGAATACATGAAAGAACTCATTTAATTCATTAATTTACACACATCTCAACTATTTTTTTTTTTCACCTCAGTAGAATAATAATTTATCGCAAAGGATCTAGACTAAAAATAATATACTGCGAATTTCACTTCCAATTAAGGACATATATGATATCCATTGATTAGGAGTTTCGATTATTTGATAAATTTTGGAATTATGAAAAATCTCTATATCAAACATATTTGGCCATTAAAATTAATTGCATCGGTCATTTGAGAAAATCGAGGTAGATTATCCCATTCATTAATCAACATACAAAGCCAAGCTTGACGGGTGGTAAAATTCATCCATGCAGTAGCTAGTATTAGCCACTTAGATAAATATTACATGAGAAATCTGACACAAGAAATGCAAATAACAACTTCCACACAATAAATATTTCATGAGAGGAATAAACTAGAAATGTAAATATCCACCTATTTTTTGTGATGAGGCTTGATCTCACGCCCATGGTTCTTGAGTCGTCTTTTATGCATCCACACAAGAAATCTGACAATAACATCTTCCACAAAATCAAAGTAAACATCACTCCAATTTCTCTTCATCACTAATATCAGAGAAGGTAGCAAAAGCCCAGCTGCAAACCCCACACCAAGACTCAAGTAAAACCACTTATCATTGAGCCCACCATCATCATCACCATCACCATCACCATCATTGTTAGAACCACCACTAGGATTGTCATTATTATGTAGGCACTTCACAGGAAGAGGACAACCATAGAGACCAGGGTTCCCAACAAATGAAGATGCTTCAAAAGTTGTTAATTGACCCTTGTAAGGGATAACACCTGAAAGGTTGTTGTAGGACAAATTCAAGTAGGCCAAAAATGATAAGGAAGACAAGCTCTGAGGAATGGTGCCAGTAAGTTGGTTGCTTGAGAGATCAAGTGATTGAAGTTGATGCATATCAGATACGTTTCCATGAACGTTCCCAGTTATGTGGTTTCTTGACAGGTTCAAATACATTAAACCAGATAACTTCGTAATTTCTTGGGGAAGTCTTTCAGACAAGTTGTTTCCAGAAAGGTCTATGCTAGTGACAAGCGGAAGAGTCTCAGTGTACGTTAGCGATTGACCTTTTGTCTTCACAACCAACCTATCATGATAGGTCACATCTCGATAAACCACATACTTAAAATCTTCATTGATATTTTCTTGAGCCATAGCTTTAAGATCACCAATGCTAGATGGAATGTTGCCCCTCAAGTCATTCTCAGCAAGGTCCAGAACTTGCAGTGAACTAAGTTTTGAGAGCTCAGAAGGTATTTCTCCAAAGAATGAATTGGGCCTTAAGTTAAGAATCATAAGATGTGAAAATCCGTTTCCAATCCAAGTAGGAATTACACCAGAAAGTCTATTATTTCCAAGATCCATGGTTACCAAATTGGATAATTTGATCAAAGATGATGGCAACTTGCCTGAGAGTTGGTTGTCATTTAGGTGCAATACTTGAAGCTTTTGCAACTGACCTAATGAGTTTGGAATAGCCCCGTACAAATTATTGTTGCTAAGATCTAGCACTGTCAAGGATGGACAGTTGGCAATGCTTGAAGGGATCCTTCCTGTGAAGCGGTTGCTTGAAAGATCAATGCTGTAAAGAAAATGACTCATCTCTACTGTGAGCTCTGGTAGTTGTCCAAAAAAATTATTATGAGAAAGAGACAAGAATCCCAAGTTAGGCATGGAATTCCAAAACCAATTTGGTATAGAATCTGAAATGCTAGCATTTGAGAGGTCTAAAAAGATCACCTCATTTTGTGATTGGAGCCAAGTTGGAAATAAAGGTCCCAAAACACATGAACTCATTCCAAGTCCAAGGACTTGAAATGGAGGCATCCAATTAGAGCTATTGACATTTACAATGAATGAATTTGATGATAAGACTAAAAATGTCAATTTGGACATCTTTAACAGATGAATTTCAGAGATTGTGCCTGTCAATTGATTGGAAGAAACATCAAGCAACAACAAGTTAGAAAGTTGTCCAAAATTTTCAGGAACAGTCCCATTGAGTTCATTATTTCCAAGTTTCAACGTAGAGAGATTTGACAATAACCCTATTGAAGCAGGGATGGGACCTTTCAACAAATTATGGCTAAGATCAAGTTCAACAAGATTTTCAAGTTGACCTAACCAGTGTGGGATTTTACCACCTAGTTTATTGTTGCTCAAATCCAAATATTTCAAATTAGAAAGAGGATTCCTAAAAGGACAACTTTTTTCTCCTTGAAGAATTTTAGGTAGACTTCCTGTCATTTTATTTCTTGATAGAGAAAAATCAACCAAGTAAGAAAGTTTTCCAATAGATCTTGGAATACCACCCTCAATAGCATTGGAGTCAAGATGAAGGAGCATGAGAGAAGTCATGTTTCCTAAAGATGAAGGGAGTTCTCCATATACCTTATTTGCTCTTAACCTAATAATTTTTATTTTTTCCCATCCTTTCCTGAAGAGTTGTGAGCAATTTCCTGTAAGATTTGAATTGCCATTTAAAATCAACAACAATAAATATGGCATCTCGCCTAGACCAAGTGGTATTCTTCCATGTAGGCTACTCTGAGTCATATCAATATACTGCAAGCTGCTTACATTCAGAAGCCAATCAGGTATCTTTGAATGGAAGTTATTATAACTGAGATCTACGACAGAAAGTGAAGTGAAATTTAGAGATGCAGGAGATAGAGTATCACCAGACAATTTACAGCGAGATAGATGCAATTCAACTATAGAAGGAAGTTGATTTAATGCACCAACCCATTTTTTCAACGATGAAAGGTTAACCCCATCCATAGCAAGATAGTCTAAAGAGACGAGACCACTGATCCACTGAAAATTGTCAACATGTAATTCAGAAGCATGAAAATCTAAGTAACCATCCAAATCAAGGACGTTGTTTTTCAGACTAAGAACTTCCAAACGAGACAGGTTTCCCAAATGTGGAGGAATGAGGCCACCAAAACCAGCATGTGACAAGTTCAGATATTCCAAATTCTTAAGTGATCCCAAGAATTGAGGAATTGGTATGCCATTGAAAGTGTTAAGACTCAAGTCTAAATGCCTTAGTGACTTGAGTTTCATCAAAGATGGTCTTATCTCACCACTCAAGTTGGAGGGTCCATACCTGCTAAATGAAGGCGGCATAGGATATGGAAATGGGTTATGGAGATCAATTGTAACCACTTCACCTGTATTGTTGTCACACTGTATTCCATGCCATTGACAACAGTTTCTGCCCCTCCACGAAGATAACACATTCCCATGATCTTGAAGCCCAGTTTTGAAATCCATGAGAGCTTCTCCATCAGAGGCCAAGCAATTAATCAAGTGGCCATTACTGCTTCTAACTGAAACTAAGATTAACAAACAGAGGAAGTGTAATAACAACTCGATTGCTGGTAATTTTTCCATTGATGTATCTCTCTCTCTCTCTCTCTAGAAAGCTCTGGTTGTAGACAAAAGCTACAAATCTCAGTAGCATATATATACATACACAGCATACACCTTTAATTTCTTCTCCAAATAACACGATAAAGTAGTTTTTTTTTCACCCTCTAAGTGGTAAATGGTTCGGACACAAACTTTCTTTGATTTTCTTTTCTTTTCTCTTTTAGGACCAACCAGAGAAACGAAGTCTCAATGAGAAAAAATGTGAACATGCATAAACGTAGTGGTCCGTGTACGTAGTAAACATTTTTTAGTGCATTGCCCTTTCAGGTACGTAACCATGTTAAGAGTCGTCCTAATGCTAATAAGTCATTGATAGAGTCAAATGCCACCTCTAGAACCATGTGCTAAGAATCATCTGGATGTTAATGTTTTCATCCACTAAAGTTAATTATGAGTCATGCATATGTTTCTACTTTGACTTTGAAGAGATAGTTCCAATGTTCGGCTATTCCTCCTTAACGTCTTTGATTTTGAGAACTTGCAAGGCCAAACACTTCAAAATTCTAAGATCAACATGTATTTTTTAAAAAAATTACAGTCAAGTCACTTGAATTTTAGTTCCCTAAGAAAAAATTATTATTGCTCAAAAAGTGTGTTTTAAGTGTATTTAACTAATTCAATTAATAATTGGAAAAATTACTTATAAGCCATATGGAGCAAATTTATTTACAAATAAGTTCTAAAAAATTTAAAAATTATAACCAAATCCCTTAGGACTTGAATATAATTTGGAATTGGGGTGAAAAGACAATAATGTTTCTATTAAAAGCATATTACATCAATAAAGTAATTTACAACTATTTTATCAATATTGTACAACTATCATTTCAACTTTTTATAACTACAATTCTACATATTCAATTGTTAAACTGAGCATGTATTATAAGTTTAATATTAATTGCATACAATTATTTTATAAATAATTTATAACTATCACTTTAATATTTTACAACTATAACTTTATATATTTAGTTCAACCAATCATATGTTATTAATAAAGTTTAACAGCAATTACTTATAATTACCTCACGAGTAATTTACATATATTACTTCAATATTTTACAACTATGACTTTATATATTTAATAATTAAATTGATCATGTGTTATTAATAATAATATTAATTATTTATAACTATTTTATTAGTAATGTTAAACTATCACTTCTATTTTTTTATAATTGTAACTTCATATATACAATGATTGTAAATTAATTTATTGTAATGTATTTTTATTAAGAATATTATTATCTTTACACCCTAATTTTAAATTACACTCAGATTCCAGGAGATTTAAATATAATTTTTAAATTTCATAAAACTTATTTATAAACAAGTCTGCTCCACGAGACCTGTAAGTGACTTAATTTCCCCAATAATAATATAAAAGAACATGTAGCGTCCCTTCATTAGCATCCAAAAATTATTACCATTTCGTTACTTAGTCTACACAATAGATGAACGCCAATTCTCTAGCAATAATAAATGTATTGGAGTATTTGTTTTTATAAATCTTGTTAGTAGCTTGGATTTGATTTAACACAATATGGGCTTATCTCTTGCAGGCCTTGTTATCCAGGTTTGGGTAGGAAAGTTTTGAAAAAAAAAATACATAATTTTATATTTTTATGTTTAAATTTTTTTATAAATTTTTACATCTTTTTCAATATTTTAGATCATTATATTTTATTTTTTAATATTTTAGGTCTCCATAACACCACTCATGAGAGACTTAAAATATCAAAAAAACAAACATATAAAAACATAAAACACTAAAAAAAATGTGTAGGGACTTACATCAAATTTGAGTTAAGTGCAAGACCCCAAAATTATTTTTTACAACAGCTTTTTATAAAATAGGCCCAATTTAAGAGACTGGTCCATGACATGTGGATTTATGGGGCCTCCTGTAAACTTTGTATTAAAAAAAAAAAAAAAACACCTTCGCATGCTCCTATTGATTGATTTGTGTCCTTCAGAGTCCACACTTCAGACCCTCCCAACATGTACAGTGAACCACGGGAGAAAATTATTCCGAATTCCTTTCTCGTGTCGTCTTTTCTTTTATTTTTTATTTTTTAAAAATCAGTCATTTAGGTTTTGGAAATCCATAAACATCACGGCATGCTTTTAAGTTTAAAAAATAAATTTAAATAAACTATTAAGTTGGGTCTTTTTCTTGCATCAAACAAACTATATTATTATTGTTTTGGGCCAACCATCACAACTACAAGTTAAATTCTTGGATGAAGGCACAAAGACACCCACAAAATAGTTAATCAAGGTAACTAATATTTTAAAGTGAGAAAAATAATAAAAATATCCATAACATTATATAAGTGGGTGTAAAAGTGATCAAACCATTAAGTTTGATCAAATGCTGTTAATTTTAATCATTAAATGTTGACTGTGCATGTCATATGTCAGTTTTTACTGATATGAACTACTAAAATAGCAAAAATACCCATGAAGTTATTGACCAAAAGCAAAAATATCCATAATGTTACAAAAAATTGGTGTAAAAGTGATTAATCCATCAAATTCCTAAAATGTTGACCATTTAGTTGAAATTTAAGTAGAAGTTGATTATTTTCCTGCTAACGTGGACAGCAAAATATTCTCAGATGAAATTCTCGAGAGGTTTATAAGTCATTATATAAATTTCATGTGAGAAAATGTCGTTTTGATCGAATATCAAATTAAATTGCTTGTTTCTTTGCAGTAGGGGCAAAAATTATTTAAAATTTTTGAACCTATCATGAATGAAATTGTTTAAGATTGTAACAATGTTCTCCAGGTAGGGCAGCGTAAGAGGTGTGTTCAATCTTGATCTTTGATTGTGCACAACCTATCTCACTATATTGAATCTCAAGTTTTGCAAACAAGAAAAATGAGTAGAAAGGGAAGGAGAAAGGGAGAGAGGTATGTGACGATGAAAAAAAAATCACGTGACATAAATTTTGACAAATTAATTACTATTGCACCTATTAAAGTAACATTATAAATACTTATATAATGATTGATTAACATTCATAAAAATTCATCTAAAAATATTTTTTGTCTACATCAATAAAAAAATAGTTTACTTCTTCTTAGGTGTTAGTGAAACTATTTGCATTTAAAAGATTTGATAAATTGATCACTTTTACACTAATATTGATAATGTTATTGGTATTTTTGCTCTTGGTCGATAATTTTATAGGTATTTTTGCCCCTTTAGAAGTAATGTTATCAAAAACTGACATGTGACATGTACAGTTAGTATTTAACGATCCAAGTTAACAATATTAGGTCAAATTTAATGGTTTGATCACTTTTACACCCACTCATATAATGTTATGATTATTTTTACTTTTTTTTTCTCATTTTAAGATATCAGTGCCCATAGATGATAATTTTATAGGTATTTTTTTTTCTTTTATCCTAAATTCTTTACCATAGTTGATTTTACATATACTCTCCTCCTACTTAAGTTTATCTTTAACATTTTTAACCCCTTCGTTTCTTTAATTCCTTTCCAGTCAACCTGTCGTATTTGTCATAAAATATCTCTTTTGGAATTGCAGTAAAAATATTAAAAAATAACTTAAAAAATTTATCCATTGAAGGGAGGGGACCAGTTTTGAACTTCTCACGTGTTTTGGTTAAAAAAAAAATTCTCACGTGTACAAAAACTATGCAAAAGTTGCAAAGATACGAATTATAAAATGTGTGGAGATTGCAAATAATACATTCTCAGTACTAAATAAATATGCGTTCACGTTCGGTGGTGAAGTCAGGAGCAATCATAACCTTTCATTTCAATCTAAAATGATATCTATTTTTTATTTAAATCAATTTTTAAATATTTTTAATGTTATATTTATTAATATAAGAATATAAAAAAATTAACAATCAATTTTTAAATATTTTTAATATTATATTTATTAATATAAAAATATAAAAAAATTAACATTAAATTTGGGTTGTTTTTAGTGTTTATTAGGAAATAAACATTATGGTATTTATCACTTTTGATGAGATTTGAATCATTTAAATTTAAAAGTTTTTATTTTTATTTTATATTTATCAAAATAAAATTTATAAAAGATATAAAAATTTTAATAAATTTGTTCACTATCAATTTGATCAGTACATATTTAATCTAAACAATCTAATTTAATATTAAATATTTTTATAATTTTATAAATTAACTATTTAAATAAATTTTGAACAGTTCAGATATAATTTGAATAATTAATTTAATATTAAACAATTTATAAATTTTATAAATTAAATAGTTAAATAATTTAGATTTAATATTAATTTTTTATATTAATAAATATAATATTTAAAATATTTAAAATTTAATTTAAATGAACAATAGAGATTACTTTAAATTTTAATGAAGGGCCAGAATAATTTTTCTTTTGACCAGCTCATGAAGGGCCAGATTACTCTTGACTCGATGAGCAACCAAAGACGGACGCAAATAAATATCATGTCCATGATGATATTTTGAGGCTCAAATTCAATCATCTCATCACTTCACGTGCCACATGCGACAAACATGTCGTCACACTTATCACATGTCGCATATGTATTGGCATTGTGGATCGCTCCGTCTTAATACATCAGCCTCCTCCCACACGCCTAACCCACGCGCGTTTGCGTTCCCGCCATGTGCCGACGATAAAATAAGACAATGATTGACTTACACAATTGCGTAGCGCTGGAAGCCTTGAAATCCCGCCACTCCTCCTCCTCCTCCTCCATCGTCATCCTCGTCTTCCATGGCTTCCTATGCCTTAATCTCTAGCTCACCACGCTCAATTCCACTACCCATTCAGACTCCCTTTCAGTTTCGGCGTCGAAGTTTGATTTTACGTGCTTCGTTAAGCTCTTCTTCGCCGTCGTCCCCCGAGTCCAAAGCACCATCTCCAGTTGTTTCGGCGGCTACTTCTTCTTCTTCTTCGACGCCTTTTGTTGAATCTAGGTCACCTGAAACGAACTTGAATTACGCAATCGCAAATCCCAATGGAAGCCCCTTTATTCGGTTTCTTCGATCTTCTGAGTCTTCCATTGAAAGGGTAATTTGATTGGGTTTTTGTTGTTGCTTTGTTTTTAGTTCTTGCTGAAGCCTCATGCTGCTTCACACTTCTTTCTGGCTTCTGGGTAATGTTTGTTCAGTTGTTAACCGATGGGCGAATAACTGAATATTAGAGGCACAAAATATTATGATTATTATAATATGATGATGATTTAGCCCTCAGTAAGTCTACTTAATCATAATCTTTAGAATTTAGGAGTATAAGCATGAGCTAGTCGTTAAAAGTAAAAACTTTCATGGGAATTATACATCTCTTAATCACATGACGAAATGATTGTAATAACTTTTTGGTTTTCTCCCTTGTTGAGCAGATTATTTTTGACTTCCGTTTCTTGGCACTCTTTGCCGTTGGAGGCTCCTTGGCTGGTTCTTTATTGTGCTTTCTAAATGTAAGTCTCAAAACACCCTTAATTTGTTAAATTCTGTTGACGATTTATTAATGTCTTATGGAATTAGAGTGAAATAATTTATTTTACTGATTTCCCTGTCACTTGATATAAATTCTCTCCATTGAGAATCCTGATTTCCTTTGAATGTTTTTGTAAAATATATGTGAAACAATAGTTGGCATCCTATTAATACAGTTAAGCTTGTGTCATTAAGTTGGTTAGATATGATCTGACTGCCCATGGTCACTGTAGGGCTGTGTATATATTACTGATGCATACAAAGTATATTGGACAAGCTGTGTCAAAGGGATTCACACTGGACAAATGGTTTTACGGCTGGTTGAAGCAATCGGTAATATATCGTACATACTCCAGCTAAAATCACTTGTTTTGTCAATATTTTCTTCAGCTGTTTACACTATGCTCAAATCAGAAAGGGCTTAACTAAAATAGTTCGAAGAAGTGAAAAAAGGAATCATTATATGGTTCTCAATTTTTTCCCTCCGAAGCATCTTCTCCATCATACTTAACCTGCAAAATTTTCTGTAAATGTTACTTATGAAGAAGACTTGTGCAAGTAGCATGTTAGTTTTATCCTTTCATGTAAGAGAACTCGATCTTTACTTTTATTTTGGAATCCAAGAACTCAATCTTCTATGTATTCTATTATTTCCTTATAGAATGCATAAATCTCACTGCTGCAGATGTCTATCTTGCTGGGACTGTTATGTTGATATTTGGTATGGGCTTATATGGATTATTTATAAGCAATGTACCTCCTGATGCGCCACCTGCTGGTGATCGTGCCCTTAAAGGGTCTTCTTTGTTTGGAATGTTTGCCTTAAAGGTAATCTTAAATGCATCAGTCTGAATGACAAGTATTGCTCTCTCTCTTCAAAATACATAAGCATTGAGTTGCACCATCCACCACATTGAAGTTCTCTTGTGTTGGTTCACCGGATATCTAGTTCTTAAAACCCATCAAGGCTTGATGGAGTGCAGATTTGAATTCACCTACATGCTGTTAGATGCATGAAAGTCTTTTAGGGTTTGGATTTTGGGCTGATTCTTACAAAATTAATCCCGAAATTTATTATATGTATCTGCCAATTCTTTTAGGTACCATTAGTCTATGATGCAGAAGTATATATTATCTAATGAGTGCAAGGCTATTTAAACCATAATCATATGATCGCGATGGATGTAGCCATCATGGGATATTATTTATTTCTATTTCTCAAAAAAGTGAAAATGAAGCTGCCCTATTTACTATTTATAAACTGCAAAACCAACACACAGACAAACATGGAAACAGAGCTTAGTTCTTTCCTATTTCTGCTTTTGAATTTCGTGTATTGGCTGTCTATCGGTTGCTATTCTTCTGCTAGTACTGTTTTCTGATAATTTATCTAAATCGTTATCATTGTATTGCATTTATATCCTTGCTTTTGTTTCTATCTAGATGTTTGAATAGCAGTCAGTTTAACCTTCACACACCAAACTTGTTTTGAGGAGATGGACAGGACTGCATGAATTATGAACTTTGTGCTGGCCATATCAATTCCAAAATTGCTTTTCTGACATTAATCTATGACAAGCATACATGTTATAGACTGAAATCCCTTGGGTCCTTCAAAGATGAACGAAATCTCAAGTTGGTCCCTAACAGATTTCTATTCTCATTTTTGGTCCCTCGCATTTCAAAATCCATCCTATCTAATCCCTTCTTTAGTGAGTCGGCAATTAAGTATCTGTTGGTCAAAATTAGAGTCATCAACAGAGAGACTTGGATGGATTTTAAAATATAAGGTACTATGACGAGAATGAAAAATTTGTTTGGGACCAACTTGAGAATAGTCTAACTGGATCTTCTCCAGTACCATTCCATTTTCCTTGACAATCATCATAACCTTATATTATGTTTTATGCCGCCTTTCCAGGAGAGACCTAAATGGATGAAAATCAGCTCACTTGATGAATTGAAGACAAAGGTGGGGCACGTTATTGTGATGATTCTACTGGTGAAAATGTTTGAGAGAAGCAAGATGGTAAAAATACACACAGGAATGGATCTGCTAAGTTATTCAATCTGTATTTTCCTATCATCTGCTTCTTTGTATATCCTCCATCACTTGCATAGGGAAGAATAGGATGTTGGACATATATAGTAAATATTGTCATTGTATTACATTTAGTTTATACCTGCGACTGCAAATATATGCCCGTCATCTAAAAATCACTCCTGGAACCATTTAGAACGATGGTCAATGATTAATATGACATCCTGTCTCTGTTGCTGCACACTGGTTAAATTTAAACTAAACGTTTCGTTTTAAGAAGATATATAGACCTAAGTCCTTGAGACGTTATTAAGAACAAGGAGAAAAGGGAGCAAAATTGTAATAAGAAGATACAGACCTTCAGTTCTTATGATGTTAACAAGTGCACACAGAAAAGGGAGGGAAATTTGTACTGAAAGTAAACGAAAGCAAAAATTGCGTTTGCCGGGAGTCGAACCCGGGTCTATTGCTTGGAAGGCAATTATCCTAACCGTTGGACTACAAACGCCTTGGCGGTGTTTTATTCACCTATCATAAAATATCTTTATTTTGTACATTCACGCATATCTTTCTATGTTTCATATTTTATCGTCCCTTAAGGTTGGCAAAAAAAAAAAAACAAAGAAAAAGAAAAAAAGAAAGAAAAAAGATATGTGTGTGTGTGTCTTATCATCCTTTTATAATTGATTTACATCTAATCGATAGTGAAAAGGTTAAAGTGTAAACATGACATGGAATTAAGAGCGGTGAAAATAATTTTTTTAATTTGAATTATTATTCACTCTTGCATAATTCCCAATGAAAGGAGAAATTTTTATATCCATTTGTGGAACATTTTCCCCAGATTATTCAAGAAGCTTAATTTGTTCAACTTATCATCCCCAGCCTTTTTACATTTATACATGGAACATATGTTAGTAAGTGAAATCAAACCATGGGCAAGGGTAGACAAGTGAGACACTTTCCTTAGGCCTCTCACTAGTCACTTCGTAGTTTGTACCACTATGTGATGAAAAGATACTAACGAGATTACGTGTTTAGTCGAAGATTCTTTTTATATTAAATATTTTCAATATATATTAGATCAAATTATTTTTTAGGGAGAATCAATTGAATAATTTTAAGAACACCAAACTATTTTTTGTTGTTTTTTTAATCTAAAAGAATTTAACTTTGGGTGAGAATAAATTGACAAATTTTTCTATTACTTTTCAAAAGTTTTCAAGTTTTATTGAACATTGTGATAATTTTAATTTATTTTTAGAATTAAAAGTATTGAAAGAAATATTAATAAAAAAGTAGTACCCTAATTGAAATTTTGAGCTCTTTCCAAATGCGTATTTTCTATAAAATATTATTGAAAGAAAGCTTTTCAAAATTAAAATTATTCAGGTGTTATTTAAAATCAATTATGCCATAAGATAGACTGCGTGGAGTAATCATATTATTTATTGAGAGTAAAATGTTAGAATTATTTTATTATAAAAAATTGATAACTATTTTTTTTTTACAACTCAAAACAAGTATAAAAAGTATATGAGAATTGATGAATTATACTATAATAAACCTCTCCAATAATTTTGCCTTAGCTTGTTCATAGTAGCATTAAGCTATAAGCACATTGGCCCCTCAATCTTTCAACCTTATATTGATTTCATTTTTCTGGTATTACAAATGTTATAACTATTCAGCAAAGTATTTTAGACCGTTGATGATAGCGGAATGTTTTAATTTTGACAATGCAACACCGTGAATCTGTCTGACTCTCTCCCTTGATAGCTTCAGCATCCTTCCAATCTCCTCAAACGAAAGAGGAGTCTGTCCACTCAGTCCATAGTACAATCTCACTATCTCTGCTTCCCTCTTGCTCAGTGTTTCTAGAAGCTTCTCCACTCCTTCCTTCATCAGCTTCCTCTCAAACATTTTCTCTGGAACCACTGCTTCTGGCCCAGGTATAATCTCCTGCATTATTTCCATAACACCATCATCAATATTTCATTGCAACTCTGCATTTCCATTAAGAAGATCCAAGAACTAATACAGGGTTGCCTAAATATGAGTCTTATAGTGAGACTTCATATAAATTTTATATTACAGGTCACTTGCTTTAAGAAAATTACTCATGATTCTCTAACTGTAAGTTAACAAGAGAAAAGGAGATATTGAGTAAGATCAACCTGTCTTGATATATCTTTCTCTTTCTTACAGTGACTGAAAATTATTCAAATTTTTGTCTATTGTGGTGACATCTGCATTATAGCTAAGAATAGTATTAGCTCTCTAGTTTATCATATAATATGACTGCCAACTTGAAAGCAGTTCTGATGAGGGGGGAAGACATGGAAGATGATCATCTTCTGAACTATGGTGAAACTAAATGAAAATAGTTCATATTGCATAAGAATGAAGCTGAAAAAGAACCTGGAGTGTCATGTGTCCTTTATCAGTCTCAGTTCTGTCCAGTGAAATTGGGGCTGTGCTATTTTCAGAAATAAGTCTAACAGTAGAAGCATTTACATCAAGCACCTCAGCTATTTCCTCATAAGTTGGCGATCTTCTCAGCCTGTATCTTAAGGCATTGTTGGCCTCTGCAACTTTTGCAATCATCTCATACTTGCTCCCCTATAAAATGACATACTAACCAGCCATTGACAATTACCAACCTAAGAAGTTGCATAAGTTTAATATAGCAATTGCTTCTCCATAAGCAATTGATATGAAGAATGAAAATACATGCAGGCCTAACATGCTTCAAAAGAAGAATGAAAAACCAGAGGCATTTTCCTGAAAAGTAGCTTGGAAAGCAAAAATTTTCAAGCTCTAACCTCAAATTCAGTGTGTTTCAAGGTAAAAATCATTTATTACATTAATAAATAATGTTGACTGAAGTGAAAATAACTTAGGTAGACAAGTCAATCATGAAGATCACACTTATCAGTAGAACCTAGTTTTGAGTTGTGACATACTCACCTGCCTCTTTATATTAGGTGTTTTAATTATTTTTCATTAGAGATGGGATCTTTTAAAAAGTCTGTCAATTGAAATAGAGCCTCACCGGTAATCTGACTAATCTGGACTTTCTGGCCACAGCTTTAATGATAGCTTGTTTGATCCACCAGTAAACATAAGTGGACAATTTGAATCCTTTATCAGGATCAAATCTTTGTGCCCCTTTAAGAAGTCCAATGGTGCCTTCCTGGTAAAATGACATAAACTGCATCAGCAATGCATAATAATGAGATGTCAAGAGTGACTGAAATATATGAGGAACCTGCATGAGGTCTTGAAGGCCTAATCCTTTGCCTCGGTAGTCAGCAGCAATGGAGGCAACTAGTCCTTGGTAGGCGCGAGCTATTCTTTCTCTTGACTCTCTAGTATTACACAACACCTTGTCCAGATTCCTTTCCCTCGAACCTAGAGGATTCTTTCTTGAGATTGCAAGATTCTCTTCAGATTCTGTGATTCTTAGCATAGCATCTTCAATCCTTGCTCCCTCCTGTTAACGGGCACCAAAGCATTGTATTAATCATGCTGATAAATCAAAATGGGTCCCTCTAAAAAGGGTCTGTCTCATGGTTATTCAGCTAAAATGATGAGCATCATATGGACATGTAGAACAGTTATACGATAATTTGAACTCAAAACAAACAGAAAGAAGACATATAGATTACAAAGCAAATTCTAATTCAAAACAATTATCCCCAAGTAACAAGTGTTATAATGAGAAATCTTCTTCCTGCAAGAAATCATATATATATATATATATAACCAATCTCGTTACCTTGAGACACAAACAAAGCTCTGCCTCTGCTTTTGAACTCAAACACCAAGATTTTACAGACTCAATCAAAATCCTCTGCTCTGAGCAGTTTCTCTTGTGCTCTTCTTCATCAAAAAATCCCAACCCTTTTCTCCTTTTCCTCCTCCTCTTCCTCCTCACATCCAATCCCACACCCCCACCTCTAACCCCACCATTCTCACGTTCCCCAAAATTCTCAACATTACCAATTCCAGAAGCTACGGACGCAGCATTACTGGCCGCCTCCATGGCACCACCACCAAAAGCAGTCGTCTCAGCTGCTTCAGCAATGGACAATGAATCACCAGAAACCAAATTCCCGCCGAATTTGGAGGGAGATGAGGAAGTAGGAAGAGTGTGTTGCAGAGAATATTGTTGGGTTTTTGATGAAGGGAAGGTTGGAAGTAAAGGTAGAGAAATGGTGGGAAGAGTTGGGGAGGGATTGGGGGACGAGCATATGCTAGCTATAGCCATAAAAGAATGGAATAGATGAGCAGAAACACTTGGCAGATTTTGTTCAGGGTGAAGATACTTCATGTTGTGGTGGTTAATGTGAAGATAATTTGTTTTTTCGTTTAAGATAGAATATGAGAATGAGAACTGAGAAACTACATTTTTTTGCAGATAGAGTAGGAAAGGATAGAACAAGTGGAGTAGATTACTCTTTTGTGTGGACGTGAGTGAAGGTAATTTGGCATTATGTGTGACAAATAATTTTGAACATAAGGAAATATTTTAAAATCAAGTAACTTAGATTACAAAAATTGATTTAATTAAATTCTTTTTTTTTTTTGTTTTAAACATGCAGTTTAGTTGTTGGGCCCAAAAAATGCAGTTTGGTTATTGAGAAATTTGAGCAAGAACTTGACCTAAATAATTATTCGTTCATTTGACTTAATTTAAAAAAGTTCAAAAAGAGCAACGAAACGAAATATGAGCAATTACCATATTTATAAAGATGTGAAAACATCAAATTATCAATGCAATAAATTGTATGGATACGGTACAAATAACAAATTGCATCAATCAACTGATCAATACTTATGTTTGTTTTAATCAGAAATTAATATTTAATATCAGAAATTAGTATTTAAATGATGTGGAATTTTCTGAAATATTATAACTAAGTGGAAATTCTATGTGGCACCATAAAATCGCAACACGTAAGTCCATTAATAATAATGATGATTGTATATAAAAGATTACATAGAAGATTTGTCACAACTCTATATAAATGTCCCCTGTCCTCGAAGACCATCCACAAAACTCAAAGCTTAATCTGAAACCATACCCTATAACTGATTCATTGTTTCAAAATGTTTTCTTCAGAACGAGTCAGTTCTACGAACATGGTTATATCCTCCATCCACATCATTTCTTGCTCTTTTGTGTGCCATGGCTTATTCTCTTTTGTAATAATCTTTTTCTTTCATTTTTCAGACGTGTGGCTTGAAAGTGGACACTCGGTGTAAAGGATGGGATAGAACTATGGGCAAATTATTGAAAAAAATCAAAGGTACATGCTTCCTTTGAATGAAAAACTTCGATCTTCTACCAAGGAGATCAAAGGCCAATACTTTATAACATGGTAAACCAAGATTTTAATTTCTATTGAGAAATGTGCCTGCATTTAATACCCAAATGTAGAAAAATATATCTTTATGTGTAACCAAAAACAAAAAAGCTTCAATCTTTTTGTGTGTACTTTTGCTGTGTTTTCTTTTGATATATATATATATATATATATATTTTGTGATTGTAGGGGTGAGTTATGATTTGGATGCAGAAGAAGGGATGATATACATATCAGGAAAAGTGGATCCACAGAAGATATTGAGCAAGATAACCAAACATGGGAAGCATGCAGAGCTATGTTGGATGAAGACTGGAGATCAGAATCACGTCTTCATGGATGAAAGGGCACATGTCCCTTATGGAGGAGGGATTATGCCTATACCCTCTTTGCCTCAGGGAGGGCACTTCCCTGTCATGGTGGATTTTATCCTTATAATCGTTCTTTTGAGTTTCATCCTCTTACTCATTCAATGCCATATCAGTCCCATTTTTCACCACCCTTGCCACCCCCATCACTCTTTCCTCCTCGTTACTACTAAATTTGATTGTGGGTTTATGTTTTATATGAAGTCATGACTTATGAGTAAGATGACCTCATATAAATCATTATCCTTGTTACTGCTATTCATAAACACTATGTCTAGCTTTATGATATATAGATTGTCTATAGATTAAAGCTGCAATTAGGGTTGAATATGTAGGATGGTTCTCATGTGCCTTAGGATTATCAATCTCGTGCATTTTAGTGACAGAGGGATTGCTTCGGATATGGGCCATGTTTTATATGAGACCCATGATTCGGATCATTACATTGTCTTTTTCTTTTTCTTATTTAAAGAAAATTTTCCTTGTTTTTCTCTTGTAGTTCTGGTTACTGTTTTAACTCTTAATAATATCATGTAACGTCATGCTGATTGAACTGTGTATTATTGCATTTATGTTATTTGATTTCTGTTTCTAATCAATTAATGGTCGGTGAATAATTGTACCCTTCATTTTTTGGGCAAAGATTGAGGAGACGCGCATCGATAATATTTGGTTGCGTTTCCAGATCCAATAAAGAATATCAACCATAATACAATTTCAGTAATTTGTTTTTTTGGGAAAGATATAATAGAGGAAAACAGATCACCTAAGTTGATTAGCAATATTAACAACATTTAGATTTTCTTCATTATACACATGGATATGGTAATTGCTATAATCAACAAACCAAAAGCCACAATGCAATATACTCATTTCAGTCCTGATAACACAGCTATTTGCTACTTAATATATATATATATATATAATAAAATTAGCTAAAAGCAGTTAAGCATATAAAAGTTTTATAATTTTTCCAAAATCATCTTTAATCAAGTTGAAATGAGATAGATGATGGAAATGGTGAAGAAAAGATTGTTTTATAAATAGATCATAAATGCTTGACTAACTTTTATAAATAAATCACAATAATGAATTTTAATTTCCTACAGAAACAAATTGATTGCATGTAACGTAGAACAAAAATTACCTTCATACACTTTTTCACCTTTTCTGATTTTTTTGGCCAACATTTACCTTTTCTATATCGAGGACCATGACAAGAAGTCTCTATAAATAAGGACCAAAACGAGTACCATGCAACAGGTAAAGTGAGTGAAATAGCAGAAGCACCTCAAGCTACGTTATCAGATACAAAATCTCTACAATATGTAAGAGAAAAACAAAATACATATAATTGAATTAATGTCGTCTTGTTACAACAGCAATACAAGAAGTCTCTCCTCAGCCATTGTCAAAGACCACGTAGTGTGTAATGTCCCTTACTTTTGGAGCAGATTATAACCAGAAATAAAACCGCCAAAGCACTTCTCTGTTCATCCCTATATGTAAGCAACTTCACCACCATCTTTGAGGCTCCCCGGCAGCTAATTAACGAATCAAAACAAGCATGTACAGTGTTGTACTGTGTTCTTCAAGGGTTTGAAGGAAGCCTATAATCTAGCATCTCCTTGATATTTAACCTGACAGAAGGCCCCATTGCTGAGCATATGTGTGCACTTTTCCAGTACACTCCTTTAGCACCTGATGGTTTATTGGCGTCTACTGATTTCTGTAAAAGCATGACACTTAAATGAAGAGAGTTTTTGAGTGAAATGAGTTCATAGAAACAAGTTGGGGAAGAAGAACGTACCACGGCAGCAATCAAGTTTATGAGAAGGTCCTCCTCAGAAAAATCAGCTTTTCCAAAAGGTAAGTGCACTATTCCAGTTTTATCTGCCCTGTATTCCACCTTGCCTTGCTTGAATTCTGATATAGCCTGCATAGATAGAAGTTTACAGAATTTCAATCAGCAAAGTTAAGAGGTTTCGTCAAACAAAGGAGCTGATGTTTTGTCACAAGTGTAATAACAATTTCAAAGCTGTTAAAACCAAGGAAAATATAGGATATTTTAATCTTAGAATCTCGCAATCCTGTATATATTTTGCAAGAAAAGCATCGACCAAAAAGATACTCGTTAAATTATAGGTTTAATCCAACTAAGTATACACCAGCCATAGCATGAACTAGAATTAAACAAGTTGATGGTACACCTGAGGAATATTGGCTGTCACAGTGCCAGCTTTTGGATTTGGCATCAGTCCTCTTGGCCCCAGAATTTTCCCTAGGCTTGCAACCTGATACAACCAATATCAACAATTAGGAGAATTTCCATCATAAATAGGCAACGTTAGTGAAATCTTAAATGAATTAAACACTTGTTGATGGACAAGTGATAAAGCCAAAGGATGCAAATAACTACTCAAAGTAAGGTCCAAGAGCAAGAACTCCTCATATCCTGAAGCACAATTAACATCGATAAAGTCCAATGTGAAACAGAAAAGTACATTGTATTAAAAGCTCTTCAATGTGCAAAGCAAGAACGCCCTTTAGTTACATCTCATATCATGCCATCAAAGTGTAGAATACGTCCATAAAAGTTAAATACCCAATAAAAATAAAATGAAATTTACACCACATTTCAGGATGCATTAATGCCACTTATATGAGAAGGATAACAAAGAAGATAATAATCCCTGCATTATTAAGTAATACTTTATTCACTAACCAGGTAAATGGTTATTTTCAATTGACATTGGAGGACCTGATTAACTGTATTGACCAACTCTTGAGATCACTCACAGAGATTGAAAATTATGTGAGTCTATAGGCTATAGGTTCTTTGTTACACATACCAAGAAAACATGAACACTCATTGAACCAGACAATCAGAGTTACACCTTAGGCATCATATCTGGAGAAGCAATTAATTTGTCAAAGTTCATGAATCCTCCTTTTATCTGCTCTATCAGGTCCTCTCCACCCACCAAATCAGCTCCTGCATTTTTTGCTTCATCGAACTTCTCACCTATGGAAATGTTAGCATTAGAACAGTCAGAGCGACAATTATTGATGCTTAAATTACTGGTAGCATTTAGGCTGGTTGAAGAGAATTTATATGCACACACTATAACTTAGAGGATGATACTGGTTATTTGCCCACATCACTATATATAGGAAAATCTAACAGGCCCATCAACAAATTGCGACAGACAGCCAGGTGCCAGTTCACCCATCAACACATAACTGATTAATGGAAACCACCCCATGATTCTCATTCATGAATTTCTAACTCAATAATTGCATATATTCAATTACTTTGTCAAACATTAAAAACATATCCCATGTCTTTTTTGTTTTTTTCCCACGCGCAAATGTCTTTCTATTGGAGGCAATTCTATTGAGACATAGTTGAACATTAAATGTAAGCACATCTCTCATTGACATATTCCATGTCTTTTAACAAGGAACATTCATGAACATTGTGCTTTGGAATAATAATTTAAACATAAAAAAAAAAGGAATGACAATCAGATTACATCTACTTAGTTCTATATACAGATATTGCTTAGATACCAAGGGAAAAATCATTCAAAAGTTTTATACTCACAAATGACCATTAAGAAAGATAAATGAACCAGAGGGTCTTTGATCACTACCATCAAAATTAAATAAGGAGCCCTGGTTCCGTACAAGTTACATATCAAAAACCAATAAAAAATAAAAAGGTGCATTAAACCAGACCGGGCAGACCTGCTGATGTTATTATACACATGACAGTTGGCAAATTGACCTTTTATTCCTAATAATATATGTAGGGTACTGTTTCATGGGCAAGTCAACTGGACAAATTTTCCACCTTCACATTCTGGTGCATATCACAACATGTCTCAAACAAGCTAAGGTTCAATACCTACTCAGACCCAAAAATTATTCTTTGATAAAGGAAATTTAATTAGAGAAGCAGGAGAACATCGTTTGTTGGAGGCCCAGGAATGTTCAAAAGTTAATTCATTGAAAAAGAAATTTGGAGATGACAGAAACCTCTTAAAATTTTGCATCCAGTACAGAATCAAAATCAAAAGAGCCATCACCCACATAAAAGCACCTCCTGACTTTATTTTAAGTAAATAGATAGCCAACTCATGCATGTACCTTGAGTAAGAACAGCCACTTTAACAGTCTTTCCAGTTCCCTTGGGCAGACTTACCTGTTATGGAGTACATGAAGGTAACACGTCTTTGCTTGTATTACAAAATCATGAGTCTAGTTTCCAATGTACTAGTATATGCAAAAGGATAATAGCTCACCGTTGCTCTTAATTGTTGATCATTATATTTAGGGTCAATGTTGAGGCGGAAATGGGCTTCCACTGTTTCGACAAATTTTGTACTTGCTGTTGCTTTAAGTAAAGATATTGCTGTCTTTAAGTCATACTCTTTTTTATTCTCCCTCAACTTTTGAATCTCCAAGAACCTCTTGGATCTCGTCTGGTGAGATATAAAAACAACAATTAACCTTATATTCGTTAAGCACATAAACTTTAAAAAGCCAAAATTACAAGCCCAGACACAATGACAATATTATTGGATTTTAACCCTAGCTTAGCACTCCCCATTGCCAGTGTAACGGAGATACAGAACATCAGACCTTACAGATGCAATTCCTCGATAGACTATCATGCAAGAGAAAGTGATCCACAAGAGCGTCCATTCACTAAAACTTACCCATAATTGGCTTCAAACAACCATCATGTAGACTCAGAGCCTATAGTATGAGAGTTGACTATGAATTAAAAAAGAAAAAAGAAATACAAGAGATATACAATAACAAATTCTCTACAAAGGAGCAATGAAATCCCATGTACTTAATTAAATCCTATACAAAAAATTAAGTCCCTCATTCACAGCAAATTAACATCAAGAAAATCATTTACAGTTTTACACTTACCCTGTCCCTCTTGAGAGGCAATGCAGCCTTGCCTTTCTTAGGTTTGGGCGTGACAACAGTGTTAGCAGGCGACCCATCACCACCATCCACTCCCTCCTCTCCGACCTTCTCGGCAACCTCAACCTCAGCCTCGGCGGCCAAAGCAGCCACAAATATACGATGATTCCTTGACTTAGCTTCCTTCTGCGAATTGACATCGACAAATTTACCGGCGTTTCTGGCTCTGGTCTTTAAAACCAAAGGATGGAAAGAGAAAGTCCGAAATAGAGGTTTGGGATTGAAGCAGCGAAGCGAGGGAGTGAGGTCTTGAGGGTGGACGGAGGCGGCATGCTTTAGCATGAAGGATGAAGGAGCGGTGCAGGTAGCCATGGCCGAAGGAACTGTGAGTTTCAGGAGGCAGAGGTTGTTGCTGAGTGCAGACTATCCATACAGAAGAGAAGATAAGGAGCCTTATCGTCTAGCGAAGCCCCATTTGGCTTCTGAAAAAGTAAATACAATCCAGAATGTTTCTCGGGGGAAAATATAAACTATAATTTTGATAAATTATTATTTCTGTAAAGAAATATAAGATTGGTAAATATATCATTTTTATATGTAATTATTATGTGGTCCTACAATTAATTAAATTAAGTTAAATTATCATAAGAATTATCCTATCACAGATCGGGGTAATAACTGATAAGGCATTTGTGATTGTGTTTTAATTTTTAAATATTATTTTCTTGTATATTTTTTGAATTATTTTTCAGAATAAAATGAAAATAAAATATGTTTGATTGAATTAAGTTAAAAAGAAGTCTTAACTGATAAAATAATCAGTAGCGATGGCTAGTATTTAATAATGATGGCTCATGATAATAATTAACTATAACTAATAATAATTTGAATGGTCAAATATAATGTTTTTTTGAAAATTAAAAATAAAACAAAAACAATTTAAAATGTTTACATTTTTATTTTAAAAACAAAAAATAAGAATATTTTTGCAAATATTTCAATCTCAAACATTTCTTAAATAAGTTTTTCATTTTTTAAAAAATAAAAAAAATAAATTTTGAAAACAAAATCAAACCCACCCTAATATAGTAACATTGTCATGTGTAATTTCTGTGGGTCAAAGTCACGTGTAGATTGAGATAAACAAACGTGCAAACTCGTTAATTGCAATCTTTTATACCCTGTCTGTTTGAAAATATAAATTATTTTTAATTAAATTTTATTCTTAAATAAAATAATTACTTACTTTTAAATTAATTTAATTTTTTTATATTTATCTTTATTAAATACTTTACGATAAATACAAAATCAATTATCAATATGGATATTTAAAAAAAAAATAATAATTATATCTTGAAAGACTAAAAATATCTTATATTTTTTAACATTCAACTTCTTAAAAAATATTTTATATTTTTTAACAGAGAAAATAGTTAATTATGTTATTTGGTTATGTTTAACTCTTACTCCTTGTAATTAAAAGGATGAACTTAATCAAAAACCTCAAATTTAAGCTCTAGGAATGTAGTAGTATGAGTGGCAAAGCTTCCATCCAAAATAATCCTAATTCAACTTCTTCTTTTTTTAAGGTTGTTTATTTTTCTATTACTTTTTAATCAATTAACTATCAAAATTAATTTTAATCAACAATAAAACTAAATTATACCATTATCAAAAATTGAGAAGAAACGTTATATTAGAAATGAATTTAAAATTCTAAATACATTAAACATATAATTTAAAAATTAATTTACTCATTTATCCTTTAAAAAACAACTTGAGTTTTTATTATTTTATTTTTTAAAAATATAAAAATTAATATTTTAAATCCGGAAAAATTAGTCTTTTAGTCCTCCAACTTTTAATTCACTTGTAACTCAGTCCCTCAATTATGACTCGCAGTGACTCAGTCCCTCAACTATGACTCGCCTATAACTCAGTCCCTCAACTTTTGAATCACTTACAATTTAGTCCCTCAACTTTTATTAATTTTTTTTTCATGTTAGTTTAGATCTCAAATTAATGAGCAAGAGGAGGATATTTTAGAATAATACATGAACATTTTTTATCACTCTTATTTGATAAAAATTTTTTAAAAAAAATTAAAAAATAAGGATTAAATTATAGGTGAATCAAAAGTTGAAGGACTGAGTCGCAGCGAGTTATAATTGAGGGACTGAGTTGCAGCGAGTTATAAATGAGAAACTGAGTTACAAGTGAGTTAAAAGTTGAAGAATTAAAAGATTAATTTTTCCTTTAAATCCTAAACACTTCATTTCAGGATTTCAGTGAATTAAAACTCGAGAATCAAGAAATCAAAACTACAGGTACAAAATAATTAAACACACATCTGCAATAGGACATGGCAACAAGAGCTACCTCTGACAAAAACAAAAGTTTGAGAGTAGAATCCTTTAGTTACCGATCATTAAGTCAGAAGGATATCCTATATATATATATATATATATATATTTATAGACAGCTTATGGAGATGGAGACCAGTAAGAATCTTCATCGTCGGTGGTATCATAAGCATGAGCATTATCATAAAAATAATCACAGCCACGGGGCACAGCAAATTCGGCCAGAATTTGCATTCCCTTTCCATGACTCCCATGGATGGCCTTCTCCGTCGAAATAGTCACTAGAACGCGGCCCCATACGGTGAGTTTTGGAAACTTGTGCATGGCCAGACCCAAGTTTTCAGCGTCAATATTGTCAGATCAGGGCCTCTCCAATTTTTCCCTCTACTTTTCCAATCTTTATCATTCATATCATTTTATTAGATGATTTTTTTTAATTATAAAATTAATGAAAGGTGAGGATTGAGAAAATGGAGGGAAAAGGATGGGGAAAAATAGAGGGCCCCAAATCCAACATTATGGCACTCATCAAAGATATGAAAAGGCTTTTTGTTTATACATGCTGGAACATATAGAAAAAAAGATATAAATCTATCTATTCTAAAGGAGACATCCTATCAAAGACATTATTTTTACTTGCATTGAAGAGATGATCAATGATCTAAAATTTCAATCAAAATTCAAACTCATATCAATGGATCACAATAGATCTCAAGCTAGATGGCACCCCCCGAACATAGCTAGATTATACTCAACACTGATGGTTCCATTAACATAAATGAAGTAACTGTTTGTGGAGGCATCATAAAAGGAAATTGGATAAAAAACTTTTCTAAATACCTTGATTATTATTTTATCACTCCTCTGAACTTTTTGAGTATCCTTAAGAGGCTCAACCTTTGTTAGAAAAGCAATTTTTTTAAAGTTAATGTCTACTCTAATTCTCTTAAAGTTCTTTTGCTTATTCATCATGATTTCAATGACAATTACCCTCTCTTTAAAACCATCATGAAAGTCAAAAACATTATTATGAGAGATTGGATGATCATTTTTTATCACGTTTATAAAAAAGCTAATAATTGAGTGGCTTGATTGGGACGCCAAGTCTTTAGCGATAGTTTAGATATTAAGATTTTAGATGAGCTAACTCTAAGGTGCAAAAGCTTTCTAGCGCTAACATGACTTTATTGTTGTTATTTATATGGTTTTTGCTATGGTCTTTCTCATTCCAAAAAAAAAAAAAAAAAACCATTATCGCACCCTAAGAAGCTCCAATATTCAAGCTTTGAACAAGCTCCAAGTATTTTAGGAACCCCCTTTGTGTTCATCGAATGGCCACCAATTACCCTTCTTGTCACCATCATTAGGCCCCAACTCCTGCAAGGCCTTGCTGTTCTTCATCTATATCTGATAGAAAAGGTTGGAGAATGCAGTAGTCTCAGCTACCATCGTTGGTGAGATGAATGGGATGAGAAACAGGAGGATCTGTGGCTTGTCATGAGGTCGAAGGCTACAATCTATTATAGGGAGTCAAGATTGAGGCAAAACCAAATTTTTGTTATCTTCAATTTCTCCTTATGTCCATCGTAGAGTAACGAGATGAGATGAAGGAAGGAAAGATGAGATTAGGTAAAGAGAAAAAGGTAGCCCATATTGATGGAAAAGGACGTGGTGGTTAGAGGAATCGAAGGACCTTTGGCTTGGTGGAAGCGATGGTAAGAGGAATCGGAGAATATGTGGCCTGGTAGAATAGGTGGTCCGAGGAATCAAGAGATTTGTGGCTTGTTGGAAGCTATGTCAGAGTCAGAGGAATCGAAGGACCTATGACTTGGCCTATTGGGGTTACAAGCAATGATTTAAAATGGAAACCAAGTTCAAGCCTAAAAAATTAATTTAATTGCAGGCTAGTGAGCGAGAAGCTTGACACTGTAGACCAAGCTGGACACTATTCATTAAGCCATGTTGTGTCTAGAGCCGGTTGCATAAATGGCTTGCCTGGATTAGATTGATTAATTATATATTGATGATTAATGAAACTTCTATTTTTTAAAAAAATCATATAAATCTTCACTGAAATCAGAAGTAACGTAACATAACATGACTTCCTATTTTTAGATTTCATTTTTATTCATCCAATTAACTGCCAGTTAAGTAACATTTGTTGGACCATAATATCCTTGATCAAAAGTTATTCTAGGTCACAAAATATAATTGAAGTAATTGCAATTGCTTCATCATCTTCTAAAGGCTTGCCTATAGTATTCTATGGATCTATGTTTACAATTATATCCTTTGTACAGTTCAAAACTAGTCAGACTAACTAGTCACAACAAAGTGAACTGATCACAACTTAATCACGAGCATTCTAACTATAGTTGATTCTCCAATAACCCCCCTGTATTCTTGAGGTGGGTAAAGTTGTATCAGCTAACCTCAGTTTAGTTTAATTTTCAAATATTCATAAAGTTTTGTAAATTATATAAGATAGTTGCAGCTTGAAACATGTGGCGGGATCACTCTTTCCCGTTGAAAGAAAAGATACAGCTCCATGTGCTCATTAGTTCTGTGATGAAGAACAGGATTGTGTGACAACAACACAGTGGTGAGATTATCACATAGAACAAGAGGAATGCTCTCCCAGCTGTATTAACTTTTACCTACCAATTCTGCATGCTTTGCAACCAAGTTAACTGAGCTTTGTAACAAAAATTCTCTTTGTTCATCATTAGAGCAATTAAGTTATACCTCCTCCGTTTTCAAATATAATAGATAAGAAAAACCATTCATCACCCAGATTATCCCTCAAAGTCAATGTTTATTCACTAGATTTAGTCCAAACTTTTTTAATTCTAATTTTTTTAATATAAAATAGTAATTTAATAATTATTTAAAATCACACAACATAGCAAACAAATAAAATAAAATTGTATATTTAATAAACTACTCTCAATATAAATAAATATAGAAACTTTATATTTTCGGCATACTTTTTATATTTCATAAAACATTAATATTGATTGATTTATGATTACATATCTATGTTAATAATATTCTCTCAATTTTGCACTATAACCATTTTTTTTTAAATATGTTTAAAAATAGAGATTTTTGTAGATATAGCATATG